TTCCCTAACCTGCTGCATTCAAATGAGTCAGATGAGCCTGAACAGCATTGACTGGTAAGTCTGTGCATACCACCTTCATTATCCCACACCTTTTCACAGCTGAGTGGATGATTATGCCAATCATGTCTCAGAGCAGCAGGAGGCTGCACCAGGAAGGGGCTGAGGCGGGATGGGGGTCAAAATCTCCCTGAGGGGCACCATCCTGCAGCAGTGCAAGCAGACCAGGGTGGTGACACCAGCACTGGGGGGACCCTGGCAATGGTGGGACAGCACAGTCAGGTGACAAACCAGATTGATCAATTTCATGCAAGAAACTTTCAGAAGCTAACTCGCATCCTTTTTGAATATTAACTCCCAAATCAACATGTTCAGCTCTTGAACACCGATTAGGGAATGCCGTGTAACAGAAACACAAGTAACCTTGTTCTGATGCTGCACTGTTACTCACAGAGAAAACATTACAGCTTAAATCTACCTGCAGATAAAACCTTATTTGTGCAGAGGTCTCTGAGCAGGTCACAAAAAGGAAATCTAACAGCTAAGTCAAACAAATGCAGGAAATTCCAACAGACTTCTGCAATTATTCTTTGTGAAGCTGTTTGCAGCTTTTTTGACGTTTTTCAAATATGGTATTTCAAGTTTCTCTGAAAAACTGGAAGTTAAACTAAAAGTACAGCAGGATGTATTTTTCATTATACTTCGGTGCTTTACACTCTCCTGGTAGACATGATCACCAGGTTCAGAGAAAAAACATCAGACCTGTCATGAAGAAGCCATTTTTTTAAATTTTCTAGTCAACTAATGTGGATCACAAGACATTAGGGTGATATATATGATTCAGAGGAATTTATCCAAATTGCTCTTGATCACTGAAGCTGTCCTGCTCCATCATTGATCAGAATGTTCTATTAAAAACTCAAAACCAGCTTTAAGTTCCTAAACATTATTAAAATTCTGTGAAATGAATTTTTTATTAGAAAGAGAAATATTTAGCAGAGTTTCTACATATCCATATGCTCTGTTCTTTAGACTACTTTTGAAAATTGTAGCCTCAAGCATTTAGGAAGTTCATCTGAAGATATGTATATATTTCCTCTAATGATAATGTTATTTAGAACTGGATAATTCTACTTAGAATCATATTCTTGTCTTTATTGTAGCCAAAATGAATGGCTGACTGCATGGTCATTAATACTGCTGCTTTCTTTAATAGCATCCAATATCACACACTGCCGGCTATATCTGACTGCTCGCAGCACCTGCTATGCTGACGAATGGGCACACTGCTCAGATAATTGCATTTGCTGCTTAGTTGTGGCTTCATTCAATGGAAGGATTCTGGATTTACTTCTCCGTGCCACCCTTTATTGCTTATTTGTTCTAAAATGAGATTTTAAAAACCCACTAATTGTTACATGTCTTGAAGTACTTATCTGTATAGTAAGTGCAGTTGGAGCAGTCAAAAAGGGATGAACAGAAACCTTAGCC